ACCTGACACAAGCTGGAAATGAGCAGGGCTGCCTGCCCGTTCAACTCCTAATACACTTTAAATGCTGAGCTGCAGCAGGGGTAGGTTCTGGACCTGGCGGGAGCCAAAACTGAGATGGGCTGCTGGCCAGCCTGCAAAAAATTTACTGGCAAGGGTGGGGGGAAGGAAATGCTTGTAGTCTATAGCATTAACCTATACACTTTTGCTTATCATGTAATCAGCTAATCGACTACACTCTTACATCCCTAATATCAACACCTCCCTTCTTTCCGTCCCCTCCTCCCCCACACTGCAAGCAAGAGGCTTGCTCCAAGGGAGAGGGCACGAGCAGCAGGGCAATGTGAGGGGAAGCATCTGAAGTGCCAACTATCCTGTCAGAAGCTGCAAGATCTACCACTAGATCCCAGCCTAGTGGTTGGTGAGCACTGGTTTAAGTTAAGTCTCGCTGAAGTGCTTTGCTGAATCAGGTCCCCCATGAATGAAATAGGAGGAGGCCTGCTAGAGCCAAGACTCACTCCCCTAGTCTCTTCTTTTAGGTTGTTTTTATGACTCTTTTGACCTAAACAACAAACATCCTGGGGCTTTTGCTTCAGAAAGTAATTCTTCTTTCTGGCATAAAGCCACAGGGTCAGCGCACCTCTGCATTTTTTAATATCTTTCTTTCAGGCAGGCAATTTCCAGTCTCCCATTTGAGCAGAAGAAGGGGAGCCAAACAAAAATGACAGTTTTAGTTATTTCTGGCTCAAAAAACTCAGCTGTGAGTTTGGGAAAAACGTGTGTAGTTTATGGCAATGGCCCCATTTGACTTTTGTCAAATTAATGCAATAACTTGCTTTAGAGATCAGGCTAATCGGGCTGGAAATGGCAATCCTTTTCAAGTAATTGTTAAAAGTGACTCATGATAAAGCTGGTTCCAGGTAAATCCTCCACACTGGATGGTCTATGACTCAGACCTGGTGTAAGTTGTGGTTATTGCCTTTTGGGAGAACTGTTCAGTGTAAAACCGTGTTTTTTAAGATCAAAGACTTGAAAACAGATCTCTTGACACACTTAGAAGCTGTACATTATTCATCCTGGGAGGCTGATGGGGCTGTGTTTCTGAAGTGGGCTACTGAGCTGAACAAAGCTGTAAGCCAAGTGGATGAAATGTCACGGGGCAGAAATGTCAGAGCAGCGGTATGCTTGAACAGCCAGCTCCCCTGTGACATTTGGAGAAGCATTTTGGCGTAATGAATACCGACTGGAAGGGAGGGCTTTGGATGATTTTGTTGTGTGATTCATTGTCAGTGTCCAAACTGCCTGGTTTGCAAGCACGAAGTGTACATACAGATCACCTAAGGCTTCAATGACTGGGGCACTTGCCATAGAGCCAGGCCACATAGCTGGCTATTGGGGCTCCCTCTAGGGTATGCACTTGCGCATGTGCGCACTATGAGTTTGCCTCAGGAGCAGCTAGGCAGCCACCACACCGCCCTGGTCCTAGCTTCAGCCCTTCCCCAAGACTGGAGCTACAGCAAGGGCTGGCCGCGTGATGAGCAGCAGCAGTGGTGGCAGCTCCAGCCCTCAGGGGAGGGTCTGAGCTACTGTGTGGGGAGCTGCAGCAGCAGCAGCTCCCGCCCCCAGGGCCCAGGGCCGAGCCGCCGACCCGCCACATGGTGAGTGGCAGGACTGGGGCAGGTTAGATAAGAGGGAACTCATCTAACCAAGTGGCTCTGAACTCTTGTGCATCCCATTCTACATCTGCCTGATCATCCTCCAGACTGAATGGGATCAGTTGCCTTGTGCCAAAGTAAGTGGCTATGTTTGTGGTGATAGTGGTGATATCCACAGATTTCCTCTTAAATATGCACAACACAATGTGTTGTTAAAAATAATCCTCTGAGATTGGTGGTTTTTTTGGTTTTCTATGAGAGCACATGCTGCCTGCTGATAGAAAATTGCTTATTAATCTCCAAAGAAATGATCAGTTTCCGTCATAGTCACCCAACAGAACTGCTGATGTTAATTTTTTTTTAAACATGTGAGTGTCATTAATTGTTTTCTGTGGTTTGTAATAGCAGTAATCCCTTTCATATGGTACATGAACTCTCAAAAAGTCACTAGCTTCAGTCCATGTGCTGTATTTAACTTTTACCTTCCAGTAGGTATGTTTCATATCTCCACAGAAATTGCAAAGGCCATCATATCACTGAAGATTTAAGACTTGGGGTAGTGGTTTTATTGCCTTGTTAATTATAATGTAATACATGTAACAGTGACCAAGTAAAGGCTTAAATACAACAAAAGCAGAATGGTTGCAATTAATTACATTTGGGGGAATTAATAAATGTTGCTTTATATACAGATTGAAAAATTAGAATACGCAGAGTGGTATATTAATTATTGTTATTTGCACTGTATTACTGGACAATTTAGAGTCTACGAGCTGAAGTTAGAGCCCCCATTGAAGCATCGTGTCCAGTTTTGAGCTCCATGCTTTGGGACAAAATAGAGAGTTCAGAGGAGAGTAAATAAATGAAAAAAGGGTTTAGAAAACTACCTAAAAGGAGAGGTTAAAAAGGAGCTTGATTAGTCTTGAGAAAAAAAGACTGAGAGGGGGACCCAAAGTCGATGGTTTTCAGGGTGAGTGGGTTCAGGGTCATGCACCTTGTTAATTGTCTCTTGTTTTAATATTTTTCTTACATGACAATTTAAATTGTGTTTTATATATAACGTTGTTAGTAACTCGTGGGTGCCACAGTGGCACACATCTGAGGAAGCGCACGTGACCTCAACACTGGTGCACAAAACAAAACTCACTCCACTCACGGATGGAAATTCTTAAAGGGAAATTTTTCTGCCAAGGAAGTGGAATACTTTGGATGTACTCAGATACAAAGGGACTATAGTGTGCACCTCACTAGCCAGTGCACAGCTCCACCTCCCTGCACTGGCCGTCAGTTCTCAATGTTGGGAATGAACACATGGCAATCTAAAACCGGAGGCAAAATATCTGCAAGCATCTCTTTGGCCCTGGCAGACCCTATTTCACTTTGGGAAGGGAAGTGGGAGCATTTCTGAGCGAGACTTTGGCCAGATACATCATAAATCTCTGGCCTGCTTAAATACTGTAAATTCCTGGCCCATCGTCCTTGGGTGACTGTGTTTCACTGATATATTACAAGTAAATAAACATCAAGGAAGGCTGAAATTCCTATTGACCTTGGAGCATTTTTCTGCCAAGGAAGTGGAATACTTTGGATGTACTCAGATACAAAGCTATCAGAATGCTGTTCCTCTGCGGCCATCTATTTTGGATATAAAAGTCTTGCAGACTGATATAGATCTGTCTCTGGAAGGAATCCCACCTTCCCTCCCATCCTTACTGTGTTGAGGGGGAGAGCACTGCTCTAAATTCCAAAGTGAGGCCATCTTGACCCTAAACTCCTGACGTTCTGGGATATTTTGAGAGCCCTCGACTCCCATGGCTGTAGCACACCCATTCCCTTGGGTCAGGAAGTCCCTGAAGAAATTGCAAGCCAACTTGCCAAGGAAAAGTTCACTCCAAATATTTCTTCCTCCAGGCCAAAGAAACAAAAGCCTTCTCCTGTCTGAAACGCCTCCCTGCTTACTTTATATGGGCATTTATATGAGTGTTTGCAGCTCAGGAGAAAGCTATTTCTCAGAGTTTGGGAGATGATCTTGGATGCTTAATCATTAACCCAGCCTGAAACTTTGGGATCTTTTTCCTCCAGCTGACCCTGCTCTCCATGCTTTTCATATTGGCTACTTTAGAAAAATAAATGTGTGGAAGACTTCTTGTGCTGCCATGCATTTCTTCCTCACGGTGCCCGGGGAAGACAGGGTATCGATAGTCATAGTGACACGGTGTTGGGAGGCAAGCAGAGAGGCTGAGACCCTTATCAGTGTGGAACTGATCGCAATACCCTGGAATTTTGAGACTGATGCAGAGAAGAGAAGGGAGCAATTTAAAATGTGTCATTGGACCAGAAGTTCCCCCGGACTGTCAGGGAGTGAGGGGAAAGTTCTTGTATTCCGTGCATGCCTCTCGCACCTGGCTGGTGAAGGAGCAGCAGAGTAATTCGCAGAATCCAAGTACTTTCCCCTGGCTCTCTGATAGTCTGGGAAACAGGAGGAGAAACAAGCTGCATCCCGGTACACATGACTGCTGCCCCTCCTGCTCTCCTGAAATGACGCCCTTGTTTCTGCCCCCATTCTTGTCCATTGTTGAACTGAAGGTGCTGTAATGTAACATGATACGCTGCATGCTGGAGAAGGAGAGGGGGAAATGACAAATCATATGCTGCGGCCTGCTGCAAGGGGACCATGAGGCTGGTGATTTCCAAACTTGGGGCTCCATTCTTGCTGCCGGCTGACACTGGTGTACCCTCCTTCCCCAGCAGGGTTACTCCACCATAACTGGGAAGAGGATTTGGCCTTTCGTCGGGGAATGAAAGTGTTCACAAAGCTGGGGAGGTGCTTTCCTTCTTGTGTCTGCTTCTTCACCTCTTGTTTTTATATGAGATGTCTAAGGGGTGGTAATGAGCACTATAGAAATCGAGTCTGGTTTGATTTCCTTTCAGCTGCAGTAAATCACAGCTCAGATACCGAGAGCATTCCCTCGCCAAGGCCCGAGGCCAAAGAAAGTGGAGAGAATGGGCCCCAGGCAACACATGGGCCTGAGAGAGACTCCAGTGCAGAACCTGCCCTCAAGGCAGAAGATGTTGATACTGCTCCTGCAGCTAATCCCACCACTACTGCCACCCCACCACCCCAGGAGGCAGCTGCTGAGCTGGCCAGAAGTGAGGAGAAGCTGCAGGAGGAGCTGGTGGTAGATGTAGTAAAAACAGAGGAGCCGGAGGAGAAGCTGAGCGAAGAGCCTTGCAAGAGCGAAATCAAGGAGGAGGAGACTGAGGACTATCCGGAGAGAGACAAGGCAAGCGACAAGAAAACAGAGAGTGGTGGTGGCAGCATGGTGGGAGCAGAGGCAGTGCCCAAAGCTGAAAAGAAAGAGGGTTCTAAAGCAGGAAAAGCTTCTGGGCACAACCCTGACAGTGACTCCAGCGCCACTTGCAGTGCGGACGAGATGGACGAGCAGGACGCTGTGGACAAAAACAGGTGAGAAGATATGCCTGAAGAGCACAGCCAGCAAAGCAGGTCTGGCTCGGGTCAGGTAACTTCCCTACCAGCCACAGCCAGGCTTGCTGTGTGGCTAGTACATCCCCTAGGGGAAATCATGCCTCAGGCTGTGGGGTGTTAGCAGCTCGCACAGCGGCTGGGGAGATCTTTCTCCCAAGTACAGTAGTGATGAGCTTTGCATCGGGGCGTGTGACAGATGAAATCTTTCCTGGGAAGCAGTAGTCATCAGCCATGACTGGAGTCAGGAGGCCAGGCTAGATCCCGCGGGGTCCTTCTCCATTCCTGTAGCTATGTCTCCTTCATTCCTGGTGTAAGGGAGCTGATCCTGCCAGCCTTGCTCAGTCTAAGGTGTGCGTACTCCATGTAGCAACAAAGAAATCAGCAAGACCATTTGTGGAGTGTGGTGCTGCTCTGGATGAATGTGTGCAGAAATGACTGGGGGGGCCTAAGGGACAGAGCTGTCAATTCTGGGCTCCTGGATTCTGCTACTGACACACTACAAGGCCTTGGACAAATCACCTCACCTCTCCAGGCCTCTTTTTCCCATCTGTAAAATGAGGATGATCATATTTTTTCCCTCCTGTGCAATGCACTTGACAGGTGTAATTAACTGATGTTTGTGACCCAGTTTGAGCTATAGGAGGCAGGGGCAACAGAAGTAAAAACATAGCATTTTTATTTATTAGGTCTTTACCCTGAGCTCGCAACGAGGGTGTTTGCTGACCAACTGTTCATTTTCATCTCTAATGCAGCACTCCCTCCCCGTTCTCATCAGGCCAGCCCTTTTATAAAGCTTAGCAAAACCTCGTATCTTTGACCCTTGTGTTGGTAACAGCTTCTCAAGGGGAAGTGGAATAAAGGGTCCGGGTCTTCCCTGCTGTGCCACAGACTTGGGGTAGGTGGCCATGGACAGCAGTAAGAGAGAGGTTGCTGGCTGAAATACATGCCTGTCCTTTATCAGTGCAGGCTCTCCTGGCTCAGGATTGGTGGCTTATTGCATAAACTTGGCACACGTCAGTCAGGGCCCATGAGATACAGGTTTGCTGGCAGTTTCTCCTTCAATGGCTACATACTATTTGTAGAAAAGGAACTACTGTGATCTCTCATTGACGGCATGGAGAGGGCAGCGGGGCATGGATTGTTCCTGGGGTAGAGAGAAGCCTTTTAAATCTAGCCATTCGTTATCTGTGAGGAAGGCAGGGCAAGTCACCAGACCCCACTTGCCGTAACCTGACATTTCTGCTCTGAGGAGTATGATTGGACTTTTCATAGGATCTCCCGTTTTTCCTCCTAGAGAAACCCCCATAACGTGGGGCTGCATGTGGAGACCCTGAAGCAGCTGCAAGCATTTTAGATTAGCAACAAGGTGAATGAATATTCAGCGTTGTCAGAGATGTGGCCAGACTTCTGGAGGAGATGGCATTTTAGCACCTGTACCCATCCACCCTCCCCACCAGCCAATAGATTCCTCAGTCCCCAGCTTCCTAGAAAGATGTGATTTGTAAAAACAAATGCTAACATTGGTTTTTGATCGTTGCTGCTGGTTGGTTTCTGTGGATGTGTGGTTCCTTCCTCTCCCTTTGTATGGACTTGCTTTTGGGGAGCGGACCCCTGGCAATGAGCGTCACAGCCATCACGTTCTCAGAGCCAGAGAGGTATCCCCACTCCCTGTGGGGGAGAGGAAGCCACAATGACAGCAAAGCAGGATGCAGGGAGCGTATGGTGCAGGGCTAGGACACTAGGACTGGGCACTAATTGCTTGGCTGGCCCAGAGAATGGGAAAGCAGCAATTTCCCCTCAGTGAGCCTGTCCTCTCGAGCATGTACTTGAGGGGTTCGCACTGGAGACAGACGAGCTCTTTAGGCTTCACTGCCGCATGGTGCGGTTATTAGCAAGCACTTGTGAGCACAGTTAGCATCATGGAATCAGAGAGAGGCTGTTTCTACTTCCTGTGGGAAGGGCCTATTTGGCTGCAAACCTGACAATAGATGGGGCTGCACATGGGGCTGCTCTGACCCAGTGAGTCCAGCTGGCCCTGTCCCACTCTGCTGGCCCATTTGAATTTGTTATTCCTCCTTTAGACAGAGGAAAGAGCCCAGCCCCCAGTACTAATCCCCGTGAGAACTGAAAGGGGCAGGGCCAGAGTACGGCTGAGGTTGACTGTTAACCCAGCTTTATACCACCACACCATCAGCAACATTTACCAGCTGCCCGGAGCCGAATGAGGGAACGGTTTTGTAAACTGGGCTCTATCCCCATGGAGTCAGCACATATCTGCCCTGTCAAACAAATACCAGTTCAGGGACATTAACCATTGAACAGGCTTGCCACGCTTCCCAGCAGCTGCTGTGCTGACATGTGGGATATTGCGGGAGTTCAGGGCTTGGCAGCCTGGGAAAGTTTGACAAGTTAAATGGGGTCTAGTTGTACCAGTAGAACTCTCTGTATGTGCCCACACTTTCCTCCATAGCCAACTCTTTTCTTTAGAAAGCAACCCCAGCTGAACTGGGCAGTGGCAGGGAATCCCTCTTACACCAGATTGTCTGCGGGGGACGGGGAGGGGTTGTCCTCGGTTCACTCTGAGTATGTCTACACATCAGTCAGACATGTACATACAGAATGTCTGCACCCGCGGGAAGAGTTTGCTTTAGAATAGGGGTGGGCAATCATTTTTGCAGGGGGGGGCACTTCATGAATTTTGGAAGTGGTTGCGGGTCACCCTCCGAAGGAAAGGGGCCTCGGGTGGAAGGGGGATGTTCCTTCTAAGTGCAGCCTGCTCCTTGGTGGGTGGAGGAGACACTACATGCTTCCCCCACCCACAGGCCCTGGGGGTGGAGGAGTGCATGAAGCCTTTGCCCCCCACCCTGCCAAGGGCACACGGTGCCTAGAGGGAAACCAGCCATTTTGAGCAGTGGGCAGTTTCCTCTGGAGCCACATGTCCCTGATTGGGGGAAGAGACTTTGCACGCTCCTCCCACCCCCAGTCTCGATTGGCCTGGGGACAGGGGAGCAGCAGGGATGCAGCAGGCTGGATCGCACTGCTAATACCGGATGCGGCTCGAGGTCCCTATCTTGCCCACACCTGAAGATGGTATGAGAAGCTAACCAGGAAGCCAGGGCAGGAGAGGTTTCAGTGCAGCCTGTTCAGGCACACCCTGGCATCTAGCCCACCCAGAAGCCCATGTGCCACAGCTTCACTGCTAGTGGGGCTGGCACTCGCTGGATCATAGCTAACTCAGTGCATGCTTATTGCAGCCATACTCAGTTGTCATTCCTTCAGTCTGCTTGAATACACACCTTGACTTACAGCCAGTGTGACTTTCTGGTGCAGATAAGGCCTGGGCTCTTATCTTTACTTCAGATTGGTGAAGAACGTACGTGTGTGTGTGTGTGTGTACGTGTACGTGTACGTGTACATGTGTGCTGCAAACAAAACACATGTATGCACAAAGTTTTATCTGCTGGGATTAAAGAAGCTGTTTTTCCCTCTTTTCTCTGTGCTCTAATAGCAGGTGCATTCAGTTGTTGAAAGTGTGTTGCTTTCTCCCTCAGATGGGTGTTGGAGTAGCTCTGCAGGCTGAGGAGGGAGGGTGAGGACCAGGCTGGAGGAGTGATGCCTAGGAACAGCTGTGTTGGCTGCCCTCCATTGTTCTGCAAGTCATGCTATTCTGTGGCAGGCCAGGGCGAAGATCATCACAGCTTTGACTCTCCAGAGCTAAAAATAAAGATAATTGCTTTTCTATATATCTTTTTTAAAAAGGCCACTAGCCATGCCAGTGGTGGAGTTCAGCTTGTGGTCACACTAGACAGAAATGAACATGTAACGCTCTGCAGATTTAGCCATTGCAAATTTATGACTAGCAGAGAAATAAGGAGACTTGTAAAAGTTACAAGAAGACACTTATCACTTGTGCTTGGTAGCTGTGTGCTGGGAGACATGGGACCAGCTTTTACCAGGTGTTAGTTGATCCTAGTGTTTCCTGTATGCTTGTGTGGCTGATCAGGAGAGGTTCAAATGTGGCCCAGATGATTAGCAAAGCGCCCACAGCTAGATTTTTGGTTTTAGTAGTGGTGTACATTTCCATATGCCTTGGTGCATACAGAAAAATGTATTCTGCACATGGATGGAAAAAAAGCCACACATGGATGAAAAAGATGAGAAGGACCATTGTTTGGTCCATTGCTATGTTGCTATCTAAGTACCTAACTCCCCTCCCTGGCAGCTTTGCAGGGAAAACAAGGCCTATTTGGCAATTGTTCAGAGGCCTCTGACTCTTTGCGCACACCCAGGTAGCTAATTATTTGAATGGTTTGAACAGGAATTTGGATTTATTGCAGTGCTGCCCAACAACAGTGCATAGACTAATATTTGGGGGTGTTGCATCATTAGTCTCGCATCTCGGCAGTAGAATGGAAAATGGTACTGAGATAGAACTCTTCATATGGAGTCTAGGGATGTCAGTGGTTAATCAGTGACCTGGCTGATCCAGAGCAGCCCCCGCTCACAGTGGGCCCAGCCTGAGTGTAGCAGTCCATTGTGGGAAAAGTGGAGGGGGTCACTCCAGTCCAGCCAGGGCAGTGCCTACCTGTGGCCGGTCCTACCTGAGCAAAATGACTTCCTTACCCACCTTATTTAAGTGCTTACACTTAATGTTTAACCAGTTATCTGATTAAATGGGATATTACCTCCCCATTGGAGCCACGTGTCCCACTTTTCCAGTTCAGTCCTAATCTTTCATCCTGTCATTTTGCTGGGGGGCATTCACACCCAGCCCTGTGGGCTGAATCAGGCAAGATGTGCACAGTGAGCCTGTATTTCCTTCCCTTGCTGATTTTTCCATCACTCAGCTTATTAGGGCTTGGTTGTCAATACCTAGAGGGAGCAACCCAAAATTGGGAATGAGAGGTACATGTGTATAAACTGGTGTCCTGGTGTCTGCATGCGTGCAGATTAGATGTGGAAATGGCCAGAGTACAGTTTACAGAGAGGTAGTTTCCATAGCAAAGTGATGTCTGCTGATTTCCCAGCGAGTAGAGCTGGACATGAGCAGGACTGGATTAAGAAAGGGGTTCACACTGCAATTCTCCCCATCCTCCTCCAGTGGCCCTCTGTCCTTCTGCTTCTCTCGCCGGCGGCCCCTGCCTCTGCAGCTACCATGGACTGGGATTTGTGGCCAGTAGGAGCTGTGGGGAGTGATAGATGCAGGCAAGCGCAACACATAGAGCCACCTGCCCCCTTCCCTCACTAGGGACACCATCCCCAGCCCAGAGCCCCCGCTCACCAGCCTCCTGCCCTGAGCCCTCTCCTGCCCTCTTAACTCTCTCCTAGACCCCTACCTCCTGCCCTAACCCCTTCCTGTCCTGTAATTCCCTCCCAGACCCCACATCCGATCCCATCCTCCAGCTCTGAGCCCCTTCCTGCGCCCTAACTCCCATCCAGAACCTGCATCCCCACCTCCTGCCCTGAATCTTTGTCCTACACTCCAAACCCGTTGGCCCCAGCCTGGAGCCCTCTCCTGTACCCCAAATGCCTCAGCCTTACCCCAGAGCCTGCAGACCCAGTCACAGTCCTCACCCACACCTGCACTTTGAACTCTTCATTTTTGGCTCCTCCTGGAATCTAAGGGACCCCACAAAATCAAATAGCCCCAAGTACTAGAAGAGTTAATCTGGCCCTGGATGAAAGTATTCATTTAAGTGCATTTGCAGTTTACACTAATTCACAGACATTGTTAACACTATGAATTATATTTGATTCATTGAATCTGAGCATCTCCAGTGCTTCAAGCCTGAATTAACTCCTGGCACCTGGGTGAGGCAGCTGTTCTTAGCCCCATTTTACTGATGGGGAAGGCAAAGCTCAAAGGGATCAATTAGGATTTAAAAAAAACACAAAAAAACAGGTGCCTAAATCTGGACTTCTAAAGCCCCTTTCAGCTCATGCGTGTCTGGGGCCAGACCCTCAACAGTTGAAAAGCGGCTGCAACTGAAGAGCTGGCCAACTCCGCCTTCAGATGGGAGCTTCTGGGTGCTCGGACCTTTAGAAAATCAGTCCTGTCCAGTGAAGCCATTTGCGGAGCAAAATGCTGCTGAATGTGAGCCAGACTTTCCGAATCTGGGCCTGCATTTTGATATCCCTGCAGCTGCTGTTGAAGAGTCTGCGAGTTAAATTGGTGCTTTGGCTTCAGCAGCACTCCTGAGTGAAGTGCCCCCTGGCTCCCTGACAGCTCCCCGATCAATCGGTCTGTGAATTTGCAAGGGGACTGTGTGCTCCCTTGCTCCAGGGATTTTGAGGAGTTCCCCACTTGGCAGAATTTGTATCTATTGTAAACTGGCAGCTCTCACTAGCGGCATAATGAGCTCTTCTGAGCCGCTGGAGGCTGGGTGGAGGAGGTGTCCCCAGCATCATGTCTGGCATCAGTGCTGGTCTGGATGCTACGTTTGCTAGGAAAGAAACAGAATTTGATTTTCAGAGGGGGAGAAAGGTTTAAAAAAAAGAAAATAATCTGGGGCCAGTGTCCAAAAGCAAGGAATGATTTGAATGCTCAGGGCTGGAAGGGAAAAGAGGAGGGTGCATGGCCCAGCCTGAAAATCAGGATTCCTACCCACTGGTAGGAGTCACCAAAAACTGAGGCCCCCAAAATCACCAATCACTTAAAAATTGTGGCCAAAGTTGGAAGAAGTTGGTCCCTATCAGTGGCCTTGCATAACTGTTGTGGGGCATGGGGCTTTTACATTTTCATAGCAGCCGAGCTTCTAGCTTTCGATACACCACCCCTGGTAAATGCTGTGCATTTATTCCCCTGGCAGCTCTGATGAGGCCCCCCCTTCTCCTTTTTTCTTCTGAGACCAACTGTGCCAGGCTCCTGGGGGGAATCCGAGGCTGTGCGTTTCGCAGGTCCTGCCTTGTAACCAGAATATCCTGCAGGAGAAGGATTGGTAGGGAGGGAATGGAGCGAGGGCAGGGGACGGGGAAGGGAGGAGCTCAGCACAAAGATATATTTATTCCCCTCACATGGCCTAGCCAGACTTGTTTATTATCCAGGGTAGAACACAGAATGACCTTGAAATTTATAGACTGAAAAGAGCAGTCAGCAGCTCAGATAAACAGCACGTGCTTTAACCTTCACCTTATGGGCTGCTTCACCAGCTCTTCTTCAGGAGAGAGAAGACAGGTGTCAGAGAGAGGCTTGGTCCTGTGGTCTGGGCACTAGTCTGGGAGCCAAGAGCTCTCGCTCCCTAGGGCACATCTCTTCCCCTCTCTGGCATGAGCCTTTCCCACTTCCCTGGGGCAGGAGGAGGGTTTAGCTTTGCCACGAAAAGACACTCTGACCTTCGTAGAGCGGAAGGTCAACTCCAGCTATATTAATTACATAGCTGGAATCAACAACCACACAGCAGGAGATTGTGAGGTGCAGGAGTACCAGTCCCGATAGAGGCGCCCTCTGAATTTGATTTAGCGGGTCTTTACTAGACCCAATAAATCAAACCCCAGAAGATCAACCACATCGATCTTCCATATACTATAGACATGGCCTGAGTGAGCCTAATAATACTTGGGAACGGTGTCACTTTGCAGTTGCCCTGAGTAACAGGGTGATCCCAAATGCTTGTGCTGTTAGAACTCACCGTGCTCCCACAAGGCCAATGACAGACCTACCCTGGAGCCTGCGCTGCATTGCTCCATCACACTGGTACATGGTCATGCAGCTCACTACCATGATTGGGAATCTGTGCCCCATGCAGCCTAGTAGCCCAGGGAATACAGACCCCGGGTTATAAACCAGTGGCCAGGCCATTCACTAAGACAGGCAGCAGCTCTCCTGGTAAGGAAGGCAGCCCTGTGCAGGGGCTGGGAAGTAGTGTGTTTGACAGGGCAACACTAGTGTGTGCTTCACTGCAGCCTTGGGGCCACTGTAAAGTGAGGGAGAGTTTTCTGCCCCCTCTTGTGTTCTGCACTCTAGGCAGCTTGATTTTAGGCTCCCTTCCCCTCCAAGGAGAGCTCTGCTTTCTGACTGCTCCTGTTCCCTTCCTCTCCCTCCGCTGGGTAATCTGAGGAGACACATGCACAGAGAGACATAGACATGCCCTGGAGTCCCTATGGTGCCCAGCCCGGAGGAGCAGCAGGACTGGGGGAGAAGGGAAGCAGAGCAGTGCTTCCAAGGCATGAGGCCAGGCCAAGTCCCACCCCTCCCTCCAAGCACCACAGCTCCTGCCAACTTCCTGCCAAGACCACACAGTGGCCTGACGGAAGCTCAGGAGCTCCGCCAGCCTCTGAAGGGTTAACCCAAAGATGTGGAGGTGGGAACAGGGCACTCCTAGTCCCGGGAGGAGGAGGGAGCCCGAGGCAGGGCTGAGCTAAATCTGTCCTGGCAGCTCTAGCCAAAGCACCGTCTGAGTGGCTGGGTTTGGGAACCGTGTGCTAGTGGGGAACTGTTGTATTGTCTCTCACTCTCAAGCAGGGGGCGCCCAGCCCAGCACATTGTGCCAAGGACTGGTCTTTGCATCTGTCTCCTACCAATGAGTTATAATGTAGCCAAGAGAGCAGGTCGCAGAACACACTGCTTGTCTTTGGGACCTGAAGAGATCCTGTCTCCGCGGACCGGAGCCCTCCATTCCTCCCACTGCTCAGCTGTATGGAATCCAGAGGGCGACCTCGGCTCTCTCACTGTCAAAGAGATCCCAGACCCTCTGCCTGCTTATGATTTCACATGCTGGGAAAACCCTGGAGCCTCAGCTGGGAACAGGGCCAACCTCCCGGACTTCCTAACTAACTGGCATCCTGTGTTGGCACTGATTCTTCCCTGGGCTTCAAAAGCATTACTCATGGGTACATGAAATTGTAGCCAGGCCCACTGAGCTCTGCGTACTTCCACCTGGGGCCCTCTTTGAGTCGTACCTTTCTGAGGAAGGTAGGCAGGAATCAGCCTGCTTTTCCTTTTTGGTATCTGTCTGATCCCAGCTCCCTATCCCGTTCTGCCTTTCTCACTGCAGCTGTGCAGCTCTGACTGTCACAGGCTGTCCTGTGTGCCATGATAACAGGGCTCTGTTATCTCCTAAGGTGGGTGCTGTTTACTGAGGAAGGGAAGAGTGCTGGATGCTGGCCAGTGCTCCCTGCGCAGTTGTCATTAGCAATGCCACCGTTTCTCAGTAGAATGGTCTGGGCTTGTGCTACTTATCACTACTGGTAGATCAAGGTCTAGCAAGTAAGAGCTCCATGTACCCGTACATTTGATACTGCGTCTCTCTGATGCAACAAGGCAAACAGTGGCACCTTGAAGCACCATTTATTCAGCAAGCAGCTCTTTGCAGGTGGCCAATCCTGAGATTTGGGTGGCGCTCACCTGGGATAGACTAAATCTATCGTACAAGTGGTGGCTTCCAGCTTGGCTGAGGTTTTAGCGCAAAAAGCACTAGCTGCTAGAGCATGAGCTGAAAAGCCAGGACTCCTCAGCTGGGCCAGTAACACTCACCTCTTCAGTGGATCAGGCTCCTGGGGGGAAGGTGACTTGGAATGTGCATCCACTGGGGGTGACACATACACGGTCCCACGTGTCGATGTGACAGGCTCCTCTATGCTGAAGAGGACAATAACTTGTAGAGTCATAATTTAAAAAAAATAAAAGCTTCCCCTACCCCCTCGCCACCTCCCAGGCTGGCTGTGCAGGCTATGGAGCATCTGCGCGTGTGGCGATACGAAGTAGATGACTCCTAAAGACGTGTGTGTTTCTGTACAGGCTGCTGTCTCCACGGCCCAGCCTCCTCAACGCTACCACTGATGCCCGGCTGTGAAGCAGCTGAAGCAGAGAGCTGCTGCCATCCCCCCCATCGTAAGTACCAGACCAAACACTCACCTCAGCTGATTCCGTTTTGCTCCAGGAAAGAGGCTCATTCCCCTCCAAGTTCTGCGTCCCATGGGGCTGAGGGCACCAAGCAAAAGTTTGCCTTGTGCACAGTTGTGCACGGGTGTCTGCCTGCCTTTGTGTGTGCCTGCCTGTTCCCGTGTGGGTGCTGGGTTTCTGATGTTTGCACAAGGATCATGTGTGAAAGAATGAGACTGGAAGTGGGCATCAGTGCTCAAGCATGGGCCCAGAGCTGTGTTTCCATGGATGGGTGATAACCCCAGGGTGTCAGGCACAGTTCTCTGTGAATGTTGTGCGAAGGGCACGGGGGAGCCAATGAGTGTAGACAGCTCCTGCCTAGCTTCTGAGAAAGTTCCCTGTAGATATTGGATTGTATCACAAGTTTCTTTTTAAGAAACCTTGTCACTGCTGCCCAGCCGCAGGCTGCCTTCGTTGGGAAAAACCCAGCCATGCACACTTTTCACAGCCTGTGCTTTCCTTTATCTCCCAATGCAAAGGGCCAGATTGCAAGTGCAGTTACACATCAGCTCCAGAGCCGCACTGCTGATGTGCTACTCTCGAATTCCACAGGGGTCACTGAAATCAGTAATTCCACATCAGCCGAGAGAGAGGTGCCATTTTGGTTGGTCCCACCAAAATCCTCTCTGTGTTCCACCCGCTTAGCTATTTAGCAGCAGCCCCCCGAGAAGGTGCATTCTCCACTCTGATCGTTGTTGCTGGGGGCTCTCACTATGAAGTGGGACGGGGAAGCCAGCCTAATTATTCTTCATCAGACTTAAGCCGGGGGAGCAGTGCTTGCAGAGTGGGAAATGGCCAAACTCATGTTGTGCTTTGGTGATCTGAAGAGGGAGTTACAAACAAAAAGCTCACATTGTCCTTTCGCGCGTCTCCACCACATGACTTGAGATCAGTGCATAGCATTGAAACCCCTTATAAGTTTCCAGGCCTGAGCTACAGATCACAATCCTTAGACCAGCCAAATCAGAGGCTCCCCAAAGCATTCCCCAAACAGGGTGACAGCCTTGCAGCCAAAGCTAAACATGCTGTTTCGCTCTCATTTGCTTCCTGTGCTAGGAAGCGCAGTAGCCTGGTTAGAAAACCCTTGGAGCATAACCTGGGGAACTGAGCTGTGTGTCTGCAGAGGTGGTGGGAGAGAAGCTCCCCAGAAAGGAGATGAGGTCTTGTGTTAGGGAGAAAACCTCATGGATGCCCCAACCCCCTGCCACAATATGCCCTGCTTCTCCCATCCCATTCTCTCTGCTCCCGCTGTAGATTTCCGAGGGATTCCTAGACGGGACGTCACAGAGTGGAAGCATGAAGCCCCAGGTGCCTCACCATGCCTTGGCCCTCTACCAGCAGCAGATCACTAAAGCCCATGAATCTGCCCGAGAGGATGTGGCCCCAAGCAAGCAGCAGCAGCCAGAGCAGGAGCAGCAGCCAAGCAGTAGCCCCAGAGGACAGAGCAGGAGCCCGGTTGTTGGTGACAAGGAAGGTGAGATGCATCTGTAGGTGATCTCACAGAGCCGGGACAGCAGTTCTCTTGCAGGTGGAAGCTAGCTTAAAGGCTGATGGTGTTGCATAGCAGAATCGTGCAGACACAGGATTTAATTGGCCATGTTCATGGGGCGGTGCATCGTGCCTCTTGAACCTGCAGCAAATCCTGGAATAGTGTTCAACACTGAGGATGGGGAGGTTGCCTTGGTTAGCGTTTTGGAGAGCTGGGGTCCTGGAGCATGCCAGAGCGCTGGGCTCAGTCACTCTTTTCTACCTTGTTTGCTTTTTACAAAGAATGGGGCCTTTCTTCCATATAAAATCAATGCTAATGCTGTGACTTGCCGTCCAGGGCTTCCTCTAAAGGTTCTCCAGGCCTTTCCCTTGGGATAACTCTGATGCGGCTTGGATGCTTAATGAACAATTCACAGCTTCCCACTGTGGAGCATTGGGAGGGATAGGCCCGTGGAAGGTAAGGCTTAGGGGAACTGAATGCTGTTGTATTTTTATTGGCAATTTCAAAGCTCCTTCTCATTGGAAATGTGGCCTGGCCTGTGCTCTTTAAACCCCTGCATCCTTAGGAGAGGGGTTGGGTGTAGTCGGTTTTGAGGCTGACCAGATCCTG